AACTGCTGGAAAACGTAGTCCATAACACCGCCAATTTTCTTACATATATACAAATATTTCATCTTATGTACAAATTAAATGATATGTATTTAGTAGTCTAAACTTACCAATCAAAACAGCCCCAGCAATCTCGAAGACAGTGGCAAGTATGCACGCTTGTGTTAGCGTGAGTACCTTGGAGCCGACGCTGGTGCCAAACGAGTTGGCCACATCGTTGGCGCCAATACCGAAAGCCAATATAAACGCTATCACGAATCCACATATCACCAACCAAAACAAATCTGGATCGTACGGTTCCATACTATTACTTTATTGTTTTATTCTATTGTACTTTTTTATTATTTTCAATCCCTTATATAGCACCTATGCAATGTAGATTTTCTATTTTTGTTTACGCAACGAAACAACCAACAATGAGCTTTGCTTCTTTCTATAAAAACGGTTAAAATATCTCACTAACAATCCTTTTCTCCAAGTTCAAACAGTCATCGTTCCTTAGAAAAATAGGCATTAAATACAGACTTAAGATAAAAGTTATAAAGAAGATAGTAAAAGTATTTTTCCTAACATTTATAAATTATTAAAATATTAAAAATAATTCAAGTCGGGTGTTGGTAATTGTGCGTCACAACGTTGTGTGTTTAAGACGCGTTTCGATTTGGAGATATGTGTTTGACAGTTTTGGCTTCATCTCTGTAAATAGAAAAATTACAGTGCTATTAAATTTGTAGATAATTCCTGTATCGAAATATGAAACAATCTTTACGAAGAGACCAAATTAAAAGAAATAAAAAAGTGTTTATATCAAATTATACCAGTTACCATTATACAGTTCAGTCGATAAAATGTGATGCGAGATTGAATAATGATGAAATCCGGTCTACCATGTGGCCTCTTCCTATACATCGCTTCCTTGATATTGATTATCCGTACCGTTCAATATTCCAGCTATAAAATATTTAGGCCAACAGAAGAAACAGGGAAATATGCCTCCAAATTAAGATTTGAACTAGCATTTGCGTCACCACACTCATTATTTCCATATTTCACATAACTACGTTATATTTTAAGCAAGCGTGAATGCCAATGTTCTATTTTAGGGTTTCACTTTTACTGATACCTATAATAACTATCTCACCTTATTAAAACATTAAACGTGTTAGTATCGCGTACTTACTTTTGGAAAGTGGAGTATTTTATAATACGGAACGTCTTAAACGATCTAAGAAGCACGAGATATCACCTTGGGACTCTCAGCTGTGTACTGAAGTAATGTGGGGTCGCGCAAGTCAGGCCTCCGGCACAATAGAGCATGCGCCGAGGACACCGCCACCCCGCCGCGCACTCACCCCCTTACCGCCCCATCTTGTGTATGGAGCACTCAATTTGCGATTGTTTGCAAAAGAACCCCTCCTGAAATAGCAATAGTCTAATAGCAAGATAAAAAATTATGCCCGTTAATAGTTACCAAGTTGGACAACAAAATATTCTCACAAAATACTTTATAAGTATAACAGTTGTTAATACTAATTATCTTATTACAAATACGAAAAAATGTTTTTTTCCTACATTGAACTCCATATCATCAACATACAATTTTTGCATACTCAGTGTAGAAAAAAGTAACTGAAGGTATCTCACCTTTAGTCCCGAAAAGAAACTTCCCAAGGTACAGAAAAACACCGGCATTTGTAATATCGATTGACAAAGTCACGTTATTAATGGTTGCTATGCTACTAAATATTACGGTTTGAAAATAAAATCGTCAAGAAAAACGCGAAAATTAAATTGGATTTTCCAGCGAGAAAATTTGTATAAAACAGACTTACGTGAAGCCGCGTATAAAAGTTATTGTGCTATGAAATCAGAAGCAAAAATTTCAAATGTCACATTATCATATAAATAAAATGGATATCTTTAAAAATAAACCCATTGATTATCGGTTTAATGCACTGCACTGTCTTAGTGCAAACAAATTTGTCATTAAGAAAAACCTCAGGCTAGATTTCTCATTGTAAATATCAATGTCTTCTTGCACAAAGAATCTCACGCTTTATCATGTACTTAAGTTTATAGATTTGGTGCCAATTGCCTTCAATAACATACCATACTTTGGTCACCTAACTTACCCCTAAATATGATTGTAAAATTAACGTGGTATGAAACTCTATTGGTGAGTGATTCAGGCCTACTGTCCACTAATACTAAGTCCAAATCATGAGAATATTAATATTCGGACTTTTCAATTAAAAATATACATATTTTATTCATTAAATAAGCAATTAAAGGTAAACGCACATTACTCAACCTACTCGTGGATCAATGGGCGTTAACCCTTACAGCCACATGCGGCTAGTAATTTAGTGGAAGTAGGGTTTTAGGTACATAAAGATAGGGGCCATAACGAACAATACTAAAATATAAATATTGCGTAAACAAGAAAAATGCATAAAATTAAATAAAAGTCATTTAATTAAAAACATGTACGCCCGACATTATGGGGATTATTTCATTTTATTTTTCAAACGCAACGCAATGGCAATTGAACTGACATTGACATATATTTAGCTCGAAGCCGTTTGTCAAAAGTCACAGATTTTGATTCTTTCGCATATAAATATAAAACTAAATTATACATCAAGATAAAATATGTAACACTGTAATTAAAATAATTACAATACAATCCAACATTTCACAATGTTCTTTCGAAATGTTCGGTCCCTCGGAGAGATGACAATCTGTTGGTGAGATAAATCAGTGATTAATATTAATGATTTTTGCGTAATATACGATTTTAAAATTAAACTTTTTTTAGCAAACCAGAACTTCTTAAATTAGGTTCAAGCAGATTGGGATGCGGACGTCTTCAACTCCATAATTCATTTCATAATAGCCGCCGGGGTGCAAGGAGACCAAGACTCGAGCCAAATCCTTTAGACAATCTGTGCTACGAGTCCATTCCTTTAAACTCTAGGGGATTATTAAAACCGTTTCTTTTTACAGTAGGAGTAAGTTTTTTTCTCTTAAACAAATTGAAAGCACTTATATTTTATAAACTATATTTTAACCTCTCAAATTTTTGTTTTAGGTCTCCGCAGCTAGTTTTGTTGGATGTGTTATATGGGAATATGAAAATCTGCGGACTCATGCTGCTTCATTGCTCAGAAAACCTGGCACCTGGTTGAATTCTCAACAAAAAAAATATTCAGTACATTCAGTTAGTTACATTATTACATATTAATTTCTTTATTTGCATAACATAGGATAGCATTTTGACATAAAGTATTACATTTTAAGCTTATTAAACATTTTAAGTTCTCTATTATTTCAGAAATCTGAATCAAATCAATTATCGAAATGGTGGAATTCACTACGACCAAGTGACAAAGTATTCTATCCCATATTTGCAGCTAATGTCTTAGTATTTGGTGCGTGGAGAATAAGGTCCCTACATCCATTCATGGTTAAATATTTTTGTTCAAACCCAGGAGGAGGTATTTCATTTCTAATATTTACTTTTTTTATATTTCAAGATGAGGTGCTTAATTATTTTTTAATTTTTCAGCTGCAAAATGTATTCCAATGGTACTGTCAACATTTAGTCATTACTCGCCTTTCCATTTGGCAGCCAATATGTATGTTCTCTACAGTTTCATGCCAGGTACTATTATTTATATACTCACTAACTTTCGTGACTCTTTCTGCTTGGCATTAAATAAAACAAAAGTAGCCTATGTGTTGTACCCGACTATGTTCTACACCTATACCAAATTTCATTGAGAACCTTTAAGGCTACAAAATCTAACCAACATCCATCAATCCATCCATCTATATAAACTTTCACATTTATAATATTAGTAAGATTTGTAAGATGATAGTCTCTTGTACCACACAAGCTCCCAAACAGTTTCTGGTTAGCGTAAACATTAATAGAATGTATACATAAATATAATCTCAAACATAATCCTCAAACTGTATATCCATTTTAATATCAAAAGTAGTTATTTCTATATATTTTTTACTTTTCAAATGTTATGTTGGAAGGGTAAGATTGTTTTTGGTAATTTTTTATTTGGATAATAATTTACTTATAAAATACTTTTTTCAGCTGCTGTGGCATCTCTAGGCAAAGAACAATTTGTAGCCATGTACTTAAGTGCAGGTGTAATAAGTAGTTTTGCCAGTGTACTTTATAAAGTTTTACTCAATCAACCAGGCCTAAGTCTTGGAGCTGTAAGTTGATATATTTAGAACAAAAAAAATACTAAATTATCGTAAATGTAAAATTTGTTTTATGTTTACAGTCCGGTGCAATAATGTCAGTTTTGTCATTTGTCTGTCTGCAATATCCCGACACAAGATTGAGTATAATCTTTTTACCAATGTATACATTTGCAGCGGGCTCGGTAAGTTGAAAAAGTTATATTTTTGTTAAGAGCTTCATACCTGGAATTTTTAATTCAGTGATTGTATAAAACAGTGTACATATGTAATGTTTTAAATATATGGTGTATTATGATAATGCTTTTAATATAGGCAATTAAAGCTATCATGGCAGTTGACTTAGCTGGAGTTGTATTGGGTTGGAGGTTCTTCGACCATGCAGCACATCTTGGAGGAGCTTTATTTGGAATGTAAGTTAATTACACAATAAGCGCTTTTTTCATAATGTATTGCAGTTAAATTAGCTAAAAAAAGAAAAGAAAAAAGTGCTCTGCCTTCCCCTTTTGCTTATAAATTTGTGTGTTTATTGTTATTGACCTCTATTACAGAGCATGGTGCTACTGGGGTGGTCAACATGTTTGGGGAAACCGAGATAAATTCCTTCAGTATTACCATAACTTCAGAAAGGACACAAGATAACAACTCCGAAATACAACAAATAGATACCATTTTATCCTTTTATAACAAAAATAGGCAGAGCTGAAAAAATGTTATTTGTTTATTTATTTTATTATCTATTTTAGATATCTAAATAATTATCAATAATTAAAAAACTATTTCATTATATGAAAAATCTTTTATTGAATAACATATGTACAAAAATATAAATTATTTGAAATGCATCATTGAGTTACTGAAATTGAGTAAATAAAACAGAAATTCCATATTGTTTACAAAATGCAGAAGAAATTGTAAAATTAGGAATTGAATGAATTAAGCTTTTAAGATTTTAGCATGGAAATCAAAATGTTCACCTATATAGGTGGATATATAATAGTAAGAGTGATCATATCCCTCCCGTAAATTCAGTATAACAGGTACTTCGACAGACCTGCAAGCTGTCACTAAGTTTTCAGGCAGCAATTGTTTTTCAATGTAAAACTTATCCGCTGCGCCCTATTAAAAAGAAAGCAAAGTAATTAACAAAAAACAAACAACTTTTCTATAATCCAAATATTTCTATGAGTATATAAATGAAAAACTTCATTCTTATAAGAAATTATAGACTTAACTAATACTACTAAATTGTAAAATTAAATTTCCTTATTACCTGATCCAAAAACAGAGTTAGTGGTGGTCCTTCATATTTCTTAACCAACTCAGTGGCATCCCACTCCTTCCACTTGTTCTCATCATCTCCGAGATATCCAGTAAATGCTTTAACTCCCCAAGGACAGGCAGTGGGGTTGCAGATGGGTGCAAAAGCACTGACTGACTTATACAGCCCTGGGTTACGTAAAGTTGAAACTAAGGCGCCATGACCTCCCATGCTACAAACAGATTATGTTCAACATGACCTCAATGTCAGCAAATTTCAGCACAAAAATACATAAAACCAACCACTTTTTGCCTTATAGGGGACGTCAGCAACCAATCTCCCCCCCCCCCTCTAAGAATTGATATCTTTTAAATAAATATTTTAATTCAAAATACTAAAGTACCTACAATCCTTAGAGACCCTCAAAGATAACTTAAATGGCTTTAGTTTTTTATTTAAAAAGTGGACCAAGCATTGATAAGTGTTCTCTTTGGAAATAACATGTTTATCATTGATCATCAGCTGGCAACACCCATGTTTTGCTATCTATACTAATATTATAAAGAGGAAAGATTTGTATTTTTGTATGTATTGAAATAACTCAAAAACTAATGAGCCAATTTAAAATTTCTTTCACCATTAGAATGGTAATTTTTCGGTGAGTAACATAGGCTATGTTTTTGTTATTTTTTTTAATTTCATGCAGGCGAATTCATGCGCTAGTCTTGTATAAAGATATCAAAACAATTTACCTATGTCCCATAATTCCAATCCTGTCTCCATCAACTACATTATCGAAAGCTTTTAGTATCAAATCATATAGCTCTTTGTTCAAATAACTACCCATTCTGTAGTTATTGGACCATGGCTCCTTAGTTGCATCCACATAAAAGCCAGCAGAAACACCAAAGTCCCATGATTCATCATCACCAGGTACTTTCACTCCTCGCGGAGAAGTGTCTGGTCCAACCACAATAATACCATGCTCCGCAGCATATCTATAATAATAAAAAATATTATATAAGAATGGAATTTTTATTAGATATGAGTTAACATAAACAATGTTAAGGTCATTGTTACAGTGATAAAAAGCAAATAAAGATTAATTTGCGTCAAAATAATTTAAAATCTTACAATGAACTTAGACCCTATTTTTAATATAAGTAAAAATTCTTATTAAATATTATCCTGTAATGTAAGCAGTTATTTTATGAACAGATTTGTTTTAATTATTTGTAAATAGTTTTTTTATTATTAGTGTCAATATAACATACCTTTGGAAGCCTGACTTTGTAATAAAATTCTGTTCATTGCAGGTGAGGCCGGATAAATAAAATATGACAGGCAATTTCACATCGCCTCCCTCAGCTTGTGGTGGTAAATAGATAGAAAAGTTCATTTTACATTTCAATTCAGCTGATTCATGAGTGTATACTTTTTGCAATCCGCCAAATATTTTGTTTGATGACACTAATTCCAAGGAATCCATCCTTAATTTCTGAAAAAAAGTAACTCAAAAATTTAATAAATACAGCTGTAACATTTATAATTTCATGTTACTATACTATAACTAACATTTCGTATGTCCAGGTCTTGTAGCATAGTTAAATCTTGATTAGCGACTTAACTGAGCAAAAGCTAGTGTTAAAATGAAACAATAAGACGATATTACGATGACTACACAGTATGTAAATAACTAATTGATAAACCCATCATCTTAAAGTTAGGTTAGTGTGCCGGTAATGATTTTTGTTCGTTTCTAATTCGATATTGATGCAAATCAGCATAGGTTAGCAAATGTATTACATAATCTTTGCGTTTTAGATTGATAGTCGTAAATATTTTACTAAATTTGTATTGTTTCGAGTATCTAGCATGAATTTTATATAATACATTGCAAGTTGTAAGATTACCTACCTTTTCTTTGGGGCTTTTTCTAACTTTAATTGCTTAATAATCGTTTTTAACTTTGACCCACCGAGTTATGCACCGAGCGTTTGCTATAAATCGTATTGGAATGCGGATTACACGAAGAAAATTGTAAGCCAATATCAAGGTCAAATCCAAATGTTGTTATCACACTTAAGTCACGTGACTGTCAAAATTGGACAGAATCATCAATTCTTGACTTCACTCAAGTCCGCATCAAAATGCAAAGCATTTAATTTATTGCTTATATTAAAATCGATATTTTTGACCCTTTTGAAGTACATATTTTGTTAATAATATTTTTAACACACACATTTCTTACAATTCGAATAAAAATATTTTTAAAGCTTAAAGTTTTCTTTAACCAACCACTCCGGCTCAGGTCCTTGGTTTTGGACCGCTGACCATAAGGTTATGTGATAATCTCCAAGGGCAACCTCCCCTGGTATCACGATTCGATAAACGTGAAACAGTTCTTAAGCCATTTTTTTACATGGTAATGTTAATGACAACACTACAATTTTGGGTTAAAATTGATTAAAAAGTCCCAATAAAATTCCAACATTTATTAAAATTACAGTACAATGTGAATACTCAATACAAAATTATAATGATTAGTTTTATATACCAGTCATTTAAATTAATATTTAAGTTTATCCAGCAAATAGCACTTTTAGATTTTAACTTTGCTTTCTTGTGCTATTTGTAAGTTAAAAAATGGAGTTTGTTACTTTATCTTAAATAAAAAATACTAGTTTATTAATACTTGAGTTTGATTAATTAATAATTATTGGAAATCCCAATTGTTCCAAAGTATCAGATCAAGTGCAAAAAATCTAATAGCTATATAATACCATACACATTATTGTGTTAATTCATTTCTATTTGTTTTCCATGCCAAATATGTATTCCAAAACAAGGCCACAGTTTGCACAATCAATACTTGATATTGCAAGGGGATATAATAAAAATTAACAATTTGTATAAATGGCCAAACATAATAATTTGTTTTTAGTATATCTAAATAATTGGATTGAATATCTTTTTCTATATGTTCGAATGACTTTCCTTGCATTACACCCAAAGTTACAAGAACAAAAAGAAGAAAACTTGGAGCAAAAACAGCTTGATCTACAAACACTTTTTTAAGTGCTACAGTTTTACCCTTTGATCCTATATATTTATTTAAAAACCCATACCAGGCTCGTAATGCTGGACCCTGAAACAGAAAGAGTAATCATTATTTTATACATAGATAATGTAAGGGATATGATCTTCACAAGCATGCAGTGCAGTTGAAACATTGTGTGCACACATATGTGTACTTACACCAGCAAAAAATCCTATTGATGAAAACCTTAGGGTTCTTACAAGATCAACATTTTTCACAGATTTCTTTTCTACTAATGTTTGAGATATGTAATCGCCAGCACCCATAAGAGCTCCAGTTTGAATTGCTTGAACTAAATACGGATGTTTGTGGAGATATTTTTGATACAATTGCAGAATGTGTCTAGCAGACATGATTTAAAATTTCTCTGTACTAGATGTAGAACTAAGGTTGTTTTAAAACTGTTCTAATTTACATAAATTTACTATGGTCATGGAAAACAATACACTTCATGTACATTTTATAAGGTTAAATATATGCACGAAAACGTCGATTATTAACATTATACTTTTTGTTCAACACGTGTAAAAACTACATTTGCACTTAATAAATAAATAAAAGTCAAGTAGTTTTTGGGTATAAAATGTTTCAGTTGTGTCTAGTTCTCATCTGCCATTTATCTTTATACTCAGCGCTACTGTTTTTTTAAAAATACAGTTTCGGGTTACAAATCAAATGCTTTCTTAGGTTTCCGGTTCCTCGGTAGGCAAGTTGGCAATGACATTGACAAGACGACAACTGACAAATAACGAACTGACAATTATTTAATTTGACTTAACATGGCACAAAGAAGAGTCGTTATAGTCAGCTCACATTTTGATGAAAATAATGTTGAAAACATGTATTAAAGTTGCATAACACACAGTATACAATTGTTTGGATTATTAACCCGTATACTCCTTTACTACAAAGCACGCCGGAACCAAAAATAGATAATTGTAACGCGTTTTTAAATAGAAAAACGTTTTACTTATATAGCAACATTAAGTTTTTCCTTCTAGCAATACTAAAAATTGTGATATCTGTTATACATTTATCTAGCTAGCATCTTTGAGCAATGGATAATAATTTTATCGGTATTTGAGTCGTGTTTCATTAAATTAAACATTGAAATCCGTTAACTTTGTGCGAGGATCGTCATCAAACACATTCGCAAAGATGGACAAAAGAAAATTATCCACTGCGGGAGATAGTTTGTACCAAATATTGCAAGTTCCCAAAACTGCAACGCCAGAAGACGTAAAGAAAAGCTATCGTAAATTAGCTCTAAAGTATCACCCAGATAAAAATCCCAACAATCCTGATGCAGCTGACAAGTTTAAAGAAGTAAATCGTGCTCACACAATTCTCAGCGACACAACGAAGAGAAATATTTACGACAATTATGGATCACTTGGACTTTACATTGCGGAACAATTTGGGGAAGAAAACGTCAACGCCTATTTTGTTGTGACAAGCACCTGGTGTAAAGCTTTGGTCGTGGTGTGCGGTATATTGACAGGATGTTACTTCTGTTGCTGCTTATGCTGCTGCTGTAACTGCTGCTGCGGAAAATGCAAACCGCGCCCTCCCGAAGAGTCCGGAGATTATCACACGCTCGAGAGAGACGACTCGGACGGCGTACAGGCGGTCACCGTGCAGCCGGGTGGCGAAGGGCGCCCCGCCGGCGAGCAGGCGCCGCCCATTGCCATGCCGGCGCCCCCGCCGAACGTGGCCACCGCCGCTTCCGAAAACACCGGCCTCAACACAGGTGGGGTGAATTATGGAATTTCACATTAACATTATTGCCTTCAATTTCAATTAAATTTAATCATTACATAATGTTTTAAGATGGATTACGATTTCTCAAAACATGTTTGATATAACATTTATAGCTATGATATTGCTTATGAATTAAAGCTGTATTTATATACCCAATTACTTGAAAGTTTCTAAATAAAAAACTGATATTGGTAGTAATCATAATGCTAAAGTTGAACACCAATAAATCTTAGTGACTAACAATTGTTATTCATGTTAGTACATATTATTATCTAATCTTGAGATATTTTAACGGAAACTGTATTACATCTTAGTGGTAAGTGTTCAACGAAATGTCCTACAAAGAATTTGCAGCTTTTGAGTTACAATTGTAATGTCTTGTTGGTACTGTAAGAATTGTTGCAAGTAAGATAAAGTATCACATTATCTCAATGTACATCACAATTTCAATATATTTAATTAGTGGTAGAGAACAGTTGACAAAGTTATACTACAGTTAAACTACTAAACTTACTGCTGTTGTACAGCAAATGCAAGACTTTTAAGATTTTGAATTTTTGAATTACATATATGTTCAATAACCTTAGTATGAAATTTAATTTGTCAAGTATTTTTTTTGTAACATAATTTATTTATTGACTTATTGTATGTGTTGTATGGATTGACCTGGTTTGATTTCAAACAAATTGAAGTGTTTTCTCATTTTTTATTTTCACAATGTGATTCACCAACTGATTATATGCTTCCTTGTGACATTGTTATGTCTGAGCTCACAAAGGGACCTTATTTATTCAATGTGTCTTATTGCATTGTTATTCATTTATAAAGTCCTTTCACTTGATAAATATAGGTTATTGTTACATTGGCTTTTAGATATGCCTTAAAATTGTTGAAGATAAGATCTCATGAGTGTAATCCTTGTTCAATAGTGGCCATGATAGTTGGGTAGTGTTATTTATCAGAAATCTATTATTCAAATACTCATTCAAAACACTGCAGAATACTATGCTTGAGTGCATGGTCAATAATTGACATACCCTAAATCTCTAAGCATTATTTAAATAACATTTCACTCATGACTCATGAATTAATAAGATATATAATGGAATATTATAACATCATGTTTTTTTTAATTAACTTGCTATCACAATTTAAGGTATTACATCAACTTTTAAATAATAATTAGTTAATGAACTTAGGTCTTTAATCATTTTATATATTACAAAGCAAAAATAGTTATTCTATGAAATGCTACATTTTGAATTTTGGATTTATTCACTTTGCTTTTTTCAGATTAAAAAAAAACATTCCAAGTTTGTTGATAAAAGCCATTTACTCATTAAGGTAAATTTGATCTACAATGTTGTATGCACCTGCTTTATGCTTTTTAATGCAAAAAAATGCATGTGGCAACACTGTATGAAAGAATGCAAGGGGCGATGTTTTTAAGTAATTCCTAAATTTAAAAAATTATTAAATTTGAACATCTTTTAATCTGAATTACTTTCCTTATTAATACCAGTGAAATTGATAATTTAAGGAGTTTTTTTACACTAATTGTAAAACAGTCTACATTCAGTCCATTATATGTTAGTTTTGTTAGCATCACAATTTTAAAAGTAATTTTAGATTTTTCCACTTGTGGGATGTTCACAGTATTTTTGGGTATGTTATTTTAGTCTTGGAATGAGTGTTTACCGTTGGACCGACCAAACTGTTCAATCTACATATTGGGTTGATTGCTCCTAGGGATATTCAGTTCAAAGGAAAACACCCATAGAATGGATTTTCAGTATTTTTTTCAGTTAGAATGTTTTTAAATTTGATCCTAACAAAATGTATTTATAATTTGGTGTTGTGTCTACTGGAATTGCTTGAATTTGTATACATTTGGCTTATGTATATCATGAATCGTAAATAATTGTTATGGTTAATGATTGTTAACATTGTATTGAAATTGTTGAAACATATTAAATTAGATTTAGAGCTACAAAGTCCAGGTCTCTAGATCTATAAGGAATATCTCTCTGTTTGATTTTAAAAAGCATTTTTCGTTTTATATTAAGAATAATTAGGTGATAAAATAATTTGGTACACAATATTAATACTGGTTTGTCTAATTGTAAAACTGGTTTGTTTTATCACAGAATATAAACAAGTTTTTTTACAAGTGTCTTAGCCGGATACTGAAACGAATCTTGTACTGTTAGCATAGTACAATCTGACAGATGTCAAATTTTAATGGAACTTGAAATTTAAACATGGCCTCACCGTTTATAGACCAACAAGATTTGATCCCCTGAGTTAACTAGCACCCTCCTTTTATGACATAAAAGTGAAGTATATGACAAAATAGTGTCCTAAAAGGAGTTTCAGTATTCAGCTAATTTTATTTTAGTTTATATTAGCGGTTTTTGTTAATTGAAAAGAATAATTAATACAATGAGAGAGAAATTTCAATAAAATCCCACATTGACATTAGGCAATCTATATTTAAAATATTGTTTCATTGTAAAAGTGAGAGAGTAGCTAAAAAATTGATTAGTATGACTTTTGCACTTAATTTTATACACATTTAATAATTACGAAATATAAAAGCAACACTCATGTCTATGCTCTGTATTCATTGTCATAAGATATTGTAAAAGTGATAGAAAACGGACAATAGATGACTGGAAATTGACAGTTTGATGTTATGGACTCGGATATGGTTATTTGACATGTTCTTTAGTGTTATACTAGTCAACGAGTATTTATAATGACAAAGTGTGAAGTAATGGAAATGTTATAATGTAATTACACTTCATAATTTTCAATCAAATAAATATCTACATAAAATATTTTATCTATCATTGAGTAATGCCTGTTTTAGTTCTTTTTTCTCTATATATATCAGAATTGAAATAATTGTTGAATGTATTGGTTACAGGAAGCAGTATTCCCAAATACACATGAAATGACGAGTAGTCTATCATAATAGTAAGAGAAATGAAGAACTGACTTCTAAAATCCATCATAATACTTTACAAATGTAAGCCTAATATAAGTTTTGTTTTTTTATGTATTTTTTATAGTATAAAATATTTTTGCTATTAATTTTTTTAGTGGTAACACCACATGGTTAAAGTTTGCCCTAGCTTGCTATTGAAGTTTGAAGAAATTTTAGTTTTAAAATTTACTGTTTTGTCCAATAATTTCATATAAATGTATTTATTTTGTGTTGTAGGAAATTTAAGTTCTTTATAATATGCAGAATTCATGAAATCTTTGCAAATGTTACTGTATGGTTTATTAAAAGGATTGTATTTATTTAGTAGAAAGTGGAAATTATAAGGGAGATTGATTCATTTTTGCAGTTTATATTTTCTCTTATACCTTTCATATTAAGTTTTATTCTGTATTATACTATTCTATAGCGAGATATAAAAATTTAATTGTAATTCATAATATAAAAAATGTATTTGCTTGTGTAGTGAATGATGCGCTAGTTACAATACAATTTCCAAACTAGCTTTAGCTTAAAATTTAAAAAAAATTGCATGACACTTTTGTGTTACCATCATACATGTATCTATTAAAGGATTTTTTATATATTGTAAGGGTGAAAAAGTTGCATAACTATGTCGCATATTTTTTCATATGAAAAGTAAAGTAAAGGTCACGGCTCATTGACCCACCTGAAAATATTTTTGTTGCATGAAAACAGTATTTCAAGTATATCAATTTCTAATATTGCATTGGGTGTTATGATTTACAAATGCGATTTTTTTGATAATAAAATATGGAAACAGGGAAAAACTATTTATTTTTTCATACTCAAGGTGTCTCAAAAAAAAAAAGTTAATTCAACATTTGTTAAAAATTCGCAAATGAATGTAACATGGTATACGTTGCACGCCGATTTAAATGAAACGATATTTAGGTATGCGGTTCTGTAAAAATAATCAAGCCAAATGAGCATTAAGATAATGCTGTGTCAAAAAAAAGTTCTTGTTGAATTTTGCATATGACTTTTTTAGTATGTGCCATTTAGAAGACAATGACCAGCGAAATGCGATGTAGGCGCCATAGTGCAACTTTTGTATAGTATTTGTTAATAATTTCTAAATATTTTTGTTATGTAAAAAGAATCATCATATAGAAAGGTCGATTACCAACCATGTAATGTATTAGTATTAGCTTTTTGGATTGCCAAGTTCGTATTTATTGACGTCCAAGTATTATTGTTGATTCGATGTTAATAAACATGTAAAAAAAACCACCTGGTTATCATTCCAATATTGCCCAGATTAAACCGTCACCGAAAAATAGATTTAAAACAATAGATCATTTTTTTTTTAATTTATGCAACAGCCAGCCAGACGGAGATAATATAATTTAAAAATGAAAAAATATCGAAACAAAAATCAAAAGGTAATTTGTCATTGAAATATTTAAATTAGATCATAATTGTTATATTTTAGAAGAAAAGTTATGTTAAATATTTAATAGTTGACGTTAGTTGTGAAACACAAGGTCGTATATCATATCTTGTTGAAGCAAAACTTTACCGAAAGATTTTTTTATTTATGTTTTTGTATATTACTGAATTATTTGAAAGGTTCTGTTCGAGCAGATATTCCACTTGGTGGAATACGTCTGACATAAACTCTGGCCTTATATGAAAATTAGAATTGAACTCAAATAATCTAAAGCTTTAAGTCTATTGACCAAACTACGGATATTTCAGAAATTTTTGTTGTCGATATAAAATGATCTTGGCATAAAATAGTATCTAGTTCACTTCGGACTTCCATCACCCAATTTTACTTTCCTATAAATAATGCCAGTTACAAGAATGTTGCGTTTACATTGATATTTATTCGCAGGCGCGCTTTCTAACGTTATTCCAAATCGATAACATTATACCGCCACCTATGTAACCCACAAGTGCGAGCGAATACGATTTATATATCGTTCTCTTTCACTCCGCTGTTTGGCGACAGCGAGGGGCCCATTTGGTGTGGTCAATAAGAATGCCGTAAAAATTAAAAAATCATTAACACGTTGCTAAGTTAACTACGACTGAGTGTTTATTATTTTTAATTATCACGTAAACTAACTGGCGATATAAAGTTGATACCAAGTACCACAGCAGTTATTTATTTGTACTTACCTAAGCGTCTTCGTGTAATGTCTTAAAAGTTAGACTGATCCGCTCCCAAACATAGGTTTCCATTAAATCTAAACATGTATCATCTTAAAAAATCATAATATTTTATGAAATTCGATACTTCGTTTGGCTTTATTTGGTGTTGTTCTAGTTGTTTGAATAACTTCATTATCGTGTATAAAAGATGTTGAGATAGAGGTTTAGATGACGGTGGACAACTGATCAGTGAACCATGACTTTATTATATTTGCTGGTGTGTATTCTGTCAAGGGTTTTTACAGTTTACGGTGATACGAATGGTTCAAGTACGTATTGTCCGTATTATAGGATAGGGCCCAAATTAGATGTGTTCGATTTGATGGGCAATTGGATGACTGTCTACACACAACCGAAAGCAGTCAACTGTTTTATGTTGAATGTAAGAGGTATCACTGATGCGGTAAGTTATTCGAATTGTAAATCCTTAATGAAATAACATAAGGTGTCTAACTAGAGATCTCCAACCAACTGATTGCGAGGCTTTTTATTTATAAAAGCAAGTTCAATAATGTTAAATATTCAGAATGGTTACAGAATAAGAAAAATTGGGAAGTGCTGCTATTAAGGGGGACCTTTAAGTGTTTTTTTCTTTTATATTAATGATCTAATCTCCAGACATTGGTTTTAATTTTACAAATGAATTTTTAAGGCGTTGCGTTTATTCAAGTAAAGTGTCAAATTAAATTTGTTGATCCAGGATCGAGAACAATACATTTATAAATATGGAAACTTCAGTGGTGCGGTGGATTGGTACAATTGTTATCTGGAAGTGGATTCTCCTCTCGGGAAACATGTGTTTCAAGGCGACGGCAGCGATTCCGGTGTCCTTGAGAATATAATCATCTTTGAATCGGATGACGGTAACAAAAGTTTGATATTCTAATTTTAAATGTTATTTAGAAAAGAATTACATTGCTTTGATTGCTTGTGAGATCACCGAAATAGGAACACGTTCATTATATCCGATGAGAGTATTTTACATTCTGCATAATTCTAAAGTTGTAAACTTGTAGAAATAATTCCGTTACTTTTTCCATTTATCTATCTACATTCGTCTGGACGTGAATATATTAAAAACTAGTTATACAAGGACACAGTATAAACAACGTGACAGGTTTTGAATGTTTTTTATATAAATTGAACGACCTTGCAGTCGAGCGGTTAGCGCCCTTAGCTGCTACAACATGGACACTGGGTGCCGTTCTCATAGTAGATAAAATGTACAACTGATCGATATATCCCTAGTATTTATCTTTATATGCAAGTAATTATACTTAAATATGGATTTTTGTACTTTGTAGCCTAAACTGCTGTACAGATCTCGATCTCGGCTGAAAGCATAGATATAGAGGATAGTTTGGAAGAACGCATAAACTACTTGCTTTTGTTTTTTTTTAATTCTACGTTGCAAGAGTCAATGCTGAAAACTACCATCTAAGATTAAAAATACTATTAGAAGATTTATAACATTGTGACTTTACTTTGCGCGACAAAAACAAAAGGATTCATTAGAAATCTAAAGGGTCTACACGTGGCTTGAACTATTTTGATTAGATAGTTGCCATCGGGAAGCAACCTAATCGTAGTCTTCCGAATAGACAGTCTAGATTGTTGATTTTAAAATAATTATTTGTCGCTGTATGTATTGTTAATAAAAAAACTTACTGTCGC